GATGCTGCGTTCAGGACAAGCATGGAAAACTCACCACTCTTATGCCAATACGATCGCAATGATGCATTTAGGTAGCAAAATGGAATTGCATGAACATTCACGTGGTGGTTATGTAATACAGCAAATCGATAATAAAAAATCCGAGTCGACAAATTTACATAATCGACATCATCGATTATTTCAACTAATCGGTGCAGCCCTAATTAAAGCAATTTTTTAAAAACCCAGCCCTACTGCATAGGCTACTCAAATGCAGCCGACAAAAACTCAAAAACGTCGGCCGCATTTGTCGACCGAGTTCGTAGGCACCAATTAATTGGGACAGCCTTCAGCGCGGGGGAGTGACATCAGTGGCCGACGAATGCGGTCGACGTCGGCTGCAACCCATGAATTGAGACACAGCCATTATGTCAATGATGGAGAAAGGAGTGTGGTCAGCTAATCTGATATCTGCAATCAACTTAGGGTATCCTTAGTGACCAGTGAAACAAAACATAGATGAATTGCTCAGCGTTTATAGTGTAATTAAAGCGTTGCATTATGTGCCCTGTGGAGACATAGTGATTTGTTTTTATCATGTGTCTGCCAGTCTGGTACATTTCTGTCTAAACACAGCTTGAGTCAACAGATTAACTAATTAATGTCAGAGTTATTTCAGATTGAATAAGGCATTAAATTAAAGACATGTTGCATTTACATGTTGTAGACAGTAGTTCATGCCCTGTGTAGTGAAGTTTAAATCAGTCACTCTGCAGCCATCCTTGTTCTTTAAAAGCATGTTTCATTTTCATTGAGTCACACACATCAAGTCCCCAATCTTTAACTGTTCTGAGAAAGATTTTTCATGCAACTTCTGGGAAACAGAGTTTCTGAGTAATCTTTCAGTCAAACTTTTGTTTACATTTATGTTCCATGTTGTTGTGTAGTTTATTAGATGTCTCTTCAATGAAAGGATGGGTTAAACATAATAGATGTTGTGGTCATTCCATTCTCAGTATCCCGTGTTTTGCACAGCTGTTAACTTTCTTTGTTTTGAGGCTGTTTTTATTTAGAGTCTGATTACAGTTTCTGGTCTCTTTGGTGCCTGTAATTTCTGATGCTTTTTGTGTCATACTGAGGGTTTCATAATGACTTGTCCCTCCTTCTCTTTTAAGGATAAACACCATGACGCTGCTCATGAAATCATTGAGACCATTCGGTAAGTGACTTCACCTTCACTCCCACATTCTCATGATTTTTGTCAAGTGTTGCCTTTAGTGACGCTCATTTTATGTTTTCAAGRTGGGTGTGTGAGGAAATCCCAGACCTCAAACTTGCAATGGAAAATTATGTGCTCATTGACTACGACACCAAGAGGTGAGTTTTGGGTTGTGCAGTTTTTATACTTAATGTCATTGTAATGGAAAACAAATTAGAAAATTTTGTTTTATTATTTTTTAAAACATTAGGCCTACTAATCATCATAAGTTGGAGAATATCAAAATAATTTCAAGTTTTACATTATCCTCTTTAATTTTGAACAAACCTTACTATCATGATCACAGTAACCTTTTTGTATTTTACTGATTGCTGATTTTTAAGATAACTTTTTGTTTTGTCTTTTCAACAGYTTTGAGAGTATGCAGAGACTTTGTGACAAGTACAACAGGGCTATTGACAGCATTCACCAGCTGGTGAGTTCTCAGTTCTCTGGAGGTGAAGACAAATAATTAGAGTTAATATGCACTGCGCAGCCAAAGAAAAATAGTCACCACCTGGATTTAACTAAGGTTTATAATGTGGGGTTACTGCAGGTGGTCAGGTCTAGGTTCAGCAACAGTTTGTGCTCAAAGAATGAGGTCAGCTGACTACCTGAATATACTGAATGACCAGGTTATTCCATCAAAGATAGCAAGGCATGTGTGTGTGATGTGATGCACCATGAAAGCTGTCTTATGCGCAGGGCCGGTTCTAGGAATGCATACAGAAATATCAAGGGGGCGTCATGCATACACATTGTGCTCCATTACATTTGTTGTTGTTGTTATTGTCAATTAGTATTTTCTTCATAGGATTGGGTTTTTACTGTCTGCTGTGTCCTACTTCCAAGAGATGGATTGATCTTCCCTAAGATCTGTCCAGCTGAGTGTCCCCACTAATGCTGGTGTAGCTCTTAGAGTCACTGAGGCATTTACCTTAATGGATTACCATCAGGCATTTATGCATCTCAGATAAATTAGAACCATAGAGAGCAACATAGTTGGCCAATAAAGCTGATTCTGATTATAGGTCTATAAGACACTATAGTGAGCTCTGCCGTTCACTCATTGTTTACATCTGTGACATCCTGGAGAAGCTAAGATGGTGCCTGAAGAGGTCAATGTCTCACAGCTGACAAAACTATTGGATTAACAGCAAGCCCAACTCCATCTGTCAGAATTACATTTTTATTACAATAAATAATATAATTCATAATTAATGTTAATTTCATACAACAATCATGTAAAACAGCTATGTGTTTTATAAGGAAAATGTATTGGTTACAACTAATGATGATCTAAAGTTGACCTGCAGTCAGTCAATAATGACTTGATTCCAATAATTTCAAGACTTTTTAGCTAACTGAATAATTAAGCTCTAGTTGCAGCTAATTGCAGTGATCAGAATCTCATCTATAGCTGAGGTTAAAAAATACATTTCAGAAATTTACTCTAATTAGCTTGAGTTCTGGTCAGGTCACATCCACATCAAGGTAAATAAGATCAAATTTGTTTACTTGTGAAATGAGACATATTCTCTTCTGTGGGTACATCCATAACACACAGCTTCCWGACATTTTTVTACATTCTAAAACTTATACACATTYTATTATATTMTTATATTAGGCCTACACATTTTATTATTAGATTTTTCAGATGATCAGCCCTTACTCAGGATTCTTTTATAAATAATTTTTTTTATCATTCTTTTAAACAAATTAATTGAGCCAGCATTTTTACAATCACTATCCAGAGTATTCAATAATCGTATTCCTTGGACTAAAGTACATCTGTCCTTTAAATTTATTCAAATTTTAGGTGTCATCTTGTTCGGTTTCACTTCCCAGCTGTTCATCAGAAAGGTGATTGTTTCTGTCTTGCCTCTTCACTTCTTGTACTAAAAAATGAACACATCAGAGCCTGAGTGTAATAAGCGTGTTCGTTCAGCTTCAGCTGTGTCATGTGAGTGTGTGTGAGCAGAGTGGACATACGCAGCTGGACGTGGCGGACTGCTCGGAGCGTCTCTGTTTATAGAGGTCCTTTTCCCTTTCGGCTTTTTGGTAATATTCAGCCTTGTCCTCATCGGACAGAGACTTCCACTGTAGAAAGAAGACATGACACTGAAAACAGCTCCAGGTCAACTGATCTACGCATACATCCACTGATCTGTACAAACTCCCATGGTGAGTTTGGATTATAATGTGTATTTTGAACAGAGCATTATTCTGTGTTTGTGCAACAATAAAGTAAACTCAGTGTTAGTTTTTACTTTCTTTTTGAGGATTTTTTCACAGTTCTGATGGATTTATCCTGTAGCGCAGCCACCCCCTTCAACTTCTGCTCATCTGAAAACAACCTGAAGGCGTTCCGAGGCTTTGGCACGTATGTCTTCCTCTGATTCTTTCTGGAGGAGCAAAACAGAAAAGAAACTGCACTTAGAGCTCGCATGTCATCACGGTGACGGACTGAGTGACGATCAAGAGGTTTTAACTTGACTTGAGCTGCGACTGAAGCCTGGAGACTCCTGATCCACAGACACAGATCAGAAGCAGTCAAGAGTGAAGTAACAAGGAGTCCAAACTTACACTGAGCGACGGGAGTTCAAAGGAGCAGCAGCAGGACGAAACTGATGCAACATCTCTCCATTCCTGCCCACATACACCCATACTTGTTAGATACAGTGTTGCATAAAGTACTACAAAGTGATACTTGAGTAAAAGTACAAGTATCTTACCAAAAATTGCTTTGGTAAAAGTTAAAATCTCCTTTAGGAATATTACTTGAGTAAAAGTCTTAAAGTATCTGATATTTTTTGTACTTAAGTATTAAAAGTAAAAGTATTGTTTTAAAATGAGCAGTTAGATTTTCTGTAATGACATCTATTAGGAGGTGACCTCCCCCCAGAAATGTCTATGTTTTATTAATGTTTAATTTATAAGTTTAGGATGCACTAGTCCAGCTGTTTCAGTTTATATACATATGTCAAGGCTGCCCAAACCTTTTCACCAAAATGAAAATCTATCCGAGGGCTGTGGCCAAATGTAATAATATAATTCATGAAATACAAATACTTCTTAAGTACAGTCCTTTGTACATTGTAAGTACAATAACAAAGTATTTTGTACTTAGTTACTTTACAACTCTGGTTAGATAACATGCACAGAAACATGCAAAGGCTCAGCAAATTATGCTTAATTCATTTAGAAACTAGCGAAACTTACCCTGTACCCATGTGGGGAGCAACAACAGGAAGAGGCCCATACAACATCTCTCCATTCCTGCCCACATACACCCATACTTGTTAGATAACATGCACACAAACATGCAAAGGCTCAACAAATGATGCTTAATTCATTTAGAAACCAGCCAAACTTACCCTATACGCAAGTAGGGAGCAACAACAGGAAGAAGCAAACGCACCATCGCTCCATTCCTGCCCACATAAACAAATAMAATGACGTGCACATTTTTTTTGCAAGGGGTTGCACAATTTTTAAATTCAAACACAAAATCCTAGATGGCCACCAAAGCTAAATTCAAATGGCTGTAACTCAGCTATTTTTAGACATATTGAGCTGAACTATGGGAGCTGCGATCACCATGTAGTCATTAGTTTAAAATGACAGCTACATTTTTTTGTCTTGCATTTGGTTGTTTTAAATTATTTCAGTGGTTCAGAAAAGGTTTTTTTTTAATCTTCACACTCTGATATCTTCCCTCTACACCAGACAATACAGCTGCTTCACAGATATTTACTTATTTTATGCTCTAACTGCCCATCTTTGAAATGCCACATTTGATCTCCACCCACTTGTCAATCATTTGGGGGTGGCACCTGGGGTGGCTAATCAAGTGCTAACTCTAACTCTGGTTCGACCCCTGGGTTCAGAAACCAATGTTATATCAATTCAGATTCAGAAACCAATCAAACCTACACTGCAATGGGGGTGATCATACACAGCCTCATTCCATTCCTGCTCACAAACATAAACACACATTAGATAATACTCACACAAAAATAGATACAAAAGCTGATTTTTGTTGGTCATTGTGTGTGTTTAACTTACTGTATTTGAAGAGGATGCAAGGAGAAAGTGTGAGGTCGATGTACCACAGGTGTGCTTATCCCCTGTAGAGAGACACACACACACACACACACACACACACACACACACACACACACACACACACACACACACACACACACACAC